CAAATTTGCAGCGTAAAAATAACACATGTTGCAATTACAGCATATCAACCTATTTTCATTTCAATGCAAAATAAGTCGATAACGCATAGGTGGCTGTGAAAAATGAAAGCCATGACAGTTGTTTTTATTAATCACAGCTGTCAGAATACGTTTAAAATAGTTTTGGGTAGTTAAGGTTTTCAAAATGGGTAGAGGAAAGGTTATTAGCTCAGACTAAAAATATAAATAGACTTACCATTCTTACGGCACTGTAATGCATGAAGACAAACAAACCCAATTCAAAACAAATACAAACAATAAGCTGTGTATGTGCAGACCACAGCTGATTCCACCAGTGGCGTAGGTGCTTTTTTTGTAATGGTGTTCTGGTTGATACACCCAGTATCACCTTCCATGGCAGTGAAAAGAATAAACACAGAGAAGTAAACAAGGTTTTATTATTGGAACTTAATTATCAGGTTTATTGTTTCATAATACCTAGTACAAAGGTATATAAACAAGAGAGAGAGTATTATGTAAATAATAAGAATTGAGTAGAAACTTTCCTGTCCAGAGTATGAATACAAAAAGAAACAGTAAGAAAATGATAGTAACCATGATCAAAAGTTGTATATAAAAAAATATATAAACAAACAGAAAAAGAATAAATAATTGACGCATCAATTTAAATATTCTGTCTTGATATTGAAGGCACAAAAAAACTATTCATTCCGTAAGAAAGATCTTAGCTTAAATAATTCCCCAAAGTATTTAAAAAGTTTGTATCATAAATTCAACTCATTCGTTTTATTTAGGCAAGCAAAGACACAGATTTGGTTCAAACGATCTGACAGAATATGCTCTCTCAATGGATTGTATAATGGACATTCCAGGATTAGATGTCCTAAAGATTCGGTCTTTCGAGTATTACGTATTGTACAATAGTCTGTTTGGTCAACCCTGTATGAAATATTGTTTAGGAAGATTTTGAGACTACATTTATTGTGGAGCTTAAGTTGGATTATAAATCGTTTTATACATAACGGTATACTTGGGGATTTAGTGTACTCTGTAGACTCTGATAGCCATTTAGCGCGTCAAAAAGTTCTTGTATTGGTATATGCTGATCCAGATATGGATGTAAAACATCTCAAAAGCTAAAGTCAACATTGGGGGTAGGTTTATACATTATTTTATATTAGTCAATCCATGTTTGGAGATTAAGTGCATATTTCAGTAAAACAATTCCTTTGGACTTGTTACTCTCCCTAAGTCATTATTTATAATTCATTTTATAATTTTGCTTTTTATTTTTTTGTAATTATCAGGTTTTATTGATTTTGAAATAATAATCTTTTTGTGAGTAATGATCGTACACGTTTTGAAGGGGCATTCAAGTTAGAGGTATAATGGTACAACTTAATGGTAAAATATTGTTCTAAAACTTGTTTACAGAGCAATGGAAAATGATTACTTAAAGGTTCATCTTCGAATACATGGTCCTTAAACACATTTCCGAATCCAAGAGGTAAATTTTGCAATGTATAATTTGTTAATATTTGTGAAGCACTTGTCATATTTTTTTTGCCAACTTCTAACCTTTCCTTATATAACCTAAAGCAATGTTCTTCATATTTACACACATTTATTACAAAAGCGGAGGCTTTAACTAATTTTCCATATGTTTTTCTTATTTGTAATTTCGATATAGAATCTCCTGAAGTTTCTAACAAATCTAAACAACTCTGGCATTTTATAGACTTTTTTAGCCTCTTGACAACAAAACCTGCAACATATGCAACAACATCTTCCAAATACAGTTTAAGCTACCAAGGACTTATTCGAAGAAAGTTTTTAAATTGTATAAAATCTTCATTTTCCTCTATACTGTTTGATGATGAGGTCATATCCTCACTAATTTTGATCTCTAAAGATGATGATGAACAGTGCAAAATGGATGTGCTATCTAATGCCACGACATTGGATGCTTCATTGCCACTTATTTCAGTATGAAGTAATAATTTTTTTAAAATATTCTGAAACTGTTTCGAGGTAGGATTATTGCTGTATCCTCCTTTGCTTCTTATACAACTGAAGAAAATGATCTTGAGATAACTTATATGTGAGAAGGTACTTCAGCTCTTTGGTTTCTTTGACTCTATATCCATACAGGCTGTTTATTGAAATTTTGAATCCCAAAAATCCTAATTAAGGTATAAGTATAACTCTAGTGTCTCCTAATTTTAACGATTTCAAATAATCCTTCGCTTCTTCTAAGAAATTGAAATATTGTTCAGTAGCAGCTGACAACGGTTTCTCATAAGGTTTTTTTGACATCCTATTCCTTGAATTAAACATCAAATAAATTGTTTACTGTTCTACAAAAATATGCTATAGCTTCTGAATCCTTGAAGTCAGCCATAGCCAGATCTTTGTTCAAAAAGTCCAATGCTTCTGCAACACTCTTGCTCAAAGTCTGGACGGCAAGTTTAACTTTCATCTTTTCATTCACCCATTGGAGATTCTTCTTGTTTTTTCTTATCACTAGGAAACCTGAAAGATCAAAAATGTGTCTAACAGAAGAGTATTTTTTGAAAATCATCACACATACAGTGTAAAAACAACCAATAACTATAAAATGTCTATTTCTTAATACTAAAAATCACAACGCATCCCCATGCGCTACGCCCTTGTCCACCTCTAACCTCTAACTCACCTGTGGAAGGTTGGCTCAGTTTTTTCACTGCTAACTCCACTAAGAATGCACTTCCGACGTCCCATTGTCTTTGAAAATTGTCTATCAATGATAACAATGCTATAATTGCCGCTAAAACAACCTGAAAACATTTTTGAATACTCGCAACAAATTCACTGTGCACAACAACAAACACCAGATGTTTGTAAATTCTGTGTACGCATCCACCACTTGCCGTTGAACACCGTTGCCACGTTCGGCAAAAAGTCGGTATAAATGTGCTACTTTCGAATGAGAGCAAGTTTCGTCCAAGGTGGAACAAATCCAGTCAAACAACTGACTGGGCAAAATATTATACGTAATGTTCGCTATGAATTACCCAACATGAACCTGCATGCAATTGAATTTACGGCGTGTCGGCCACCTCTGTGACCGTTTTTGCGAGTGTAAACAAATATGAAAAGAAAAAATAAATTTTTAAAATTTAAAATGACGTTGACAACTGCCTAGGAGCAGTTGTTTGATCGACCCACGATCGACCGGAGCGTCCACACTTTATTTAAGTCCACCTTCATTTCGGGTGGAGTGCACACCAATATCTCATTCCATTTTCAATAGATTTTTCAGTATGGAGAAGTGGCAGCGTCGCATATATTTGTTTACCGTAAATACAGTTATGTTGACGACGATATTTTGTAGGGAATTATTTGTCTATTTATATTTTTAGTCTGAGGTTATTAGTGAGAAAAAAAAGTGAAGTAAAAACCCTAAAGTTGCACAACTTGTTTATGGGCCAAAGAAAAGTCACTATAAACTCCACTGCAAAAGAAAAATCGGCTTAGATGGGCTAAAGAACATAGACAATGGACACCTCAACAATGGTGTGCAATACAATGAAGTGATGAAGCCCGATTCGAAGTTTGTGTTGGTCACAGTCGCAGTAGAGTTATTCGCAAAAAAAATGAAGCATTCCATGTTGACTGTCTGAAGAGAAAAGTGAAATTTCCAGCATCCATTATGGTCTGGGGCAGTATGTCATCAAAAGGAGTAGGAAAACTTCATTTTATTGATGAACATGTGGATACAAACACATATTTGGCAATTTTAGAAGAATCGCTTTTACCAGTGATGTAAGAATGTTTGACATCCGGCCAAGATTTTGTGTGTCAGCAAGATGATGCAGCGTGCTCTACCTCAAAAAAGGCTATAAAATGAATGGAAGAAAACTTTTGAAATGGGTTTCTAGCAGTCCAGATCTGTCACCTATTAAAACTTTGTGGCACGAGATGAAAAGGGTTCTACGACAACATCCTGCTCGTACAATCACCGAACTGAGACAAAAGCTTCAAGAAATATGGGATTGCTTTACACCAAATGTTTGCCAAAACTTGGTTAACACTATGGCCGTAATAAAAAATAAAGGTGATGTTACCCAATGGTAATCTTTCAATTGTTGCTTTGTTAACTTCGCGCATTTATTCGCACATTGTTTATTTGTTCAGATGTTCTATTAGTTATAGGTCTAAGTGATTTCAAATATGTATTTTTTACGACTAGAGTGTACCTATCTAAAATGTTTTTGAGAAAATAAATTGTTTTAGAAGTAAATAGTTTCGTCCTGTTTAGTTTATAAAGGCATATTTTGGTACAAATTTTGAAATGGGCCAATTGAAGTGGGAAGGGGCTCGTAGTGTATAGATTTTTCCGAACAATCGGCCATAAAGAACACTTTTGCCGGGAGTCTATTTCTTGGCCGAAGCGGATGCCGAAGCATTGTTCGGACCCCTATACTTTTGTCGGGGTTCCCATTTCAGGATTTTTAAAATATCTGATACCATTCAAAACGTTGCTCCCTATGAAGTAAATAATTGTTAATATAATGGTTTTTTAACAATCTTCATTTATTTGTTTCAGGTTGTACGAAAGTATATACGAAAAGCTCACATCTCAAAGCACACCAACGAATTCATACAGGTAAGGGTCAGTATTACTTGTTTGAGATAATTTACTGGTGTGACTGATACTAATAACATTTTGGTATGACTGTTCCGGCTTGATGTTACAAAACAGTGAAATAGATATCACTAATAGCATCATGGGAAGTGTAATTCGTAGCTAATTGCAACGCTGGCGTGATGCTGCCCATCTAGCACTACGTCATTTGGCAAAGCGGAGGACGTCGCACGTCAAATTTCGCCAACAGATATGCAGTTGCCTTTTACACTACCTGTGATACTCGAGCTGCGTAACATCAATGGAAGTATACTCTATTGTTGTTTTTTTTTGCAGGCGAAAAACCCTATCAATGCCAATGGCCAGAATGTGAATGGCGCTTCGCCAGATCGGACGAGTTGACCCGCCATTACCGAAAACACACCGGCGCCAAACCGTTCAAATGCGGAGTATGCGAGAGATCCTTCGCGAGATCTGACCATTTGGCCTTGCACATGAAACGTCATCTGCCTAAAGCTGCCAAATGAGCGCCAAGAGACATCTGGTGGCCTCCTCGCACACACGTTGCTTTAATTGTTGGATCCGAGAGTTCAGTTGCTGTTCCGAACATATCGGCGGCACAGCGTTCAGTTGTTGGTCCGTTTTTCTCAGAGACGCAGTACTAGCATTCATTTGTTGGTCCGACCTTCTCCATTCCACACCGTTCAGTTGCAAGTCCGTCCTCGTAAGCACATCTTCATCTGGTGTCGCGAAGTTGAAGAAGCCTGAGGATGTTTGTGCTTTAAGTCTTTTCAGCGCAGACTGTATTTGCTGTTGATGATTTTATTCTTGTTGTTTACAAACTAAATGGGTTGTCAAAAAAATTTGAAGCTATGCACTTTTAATCTTTATTTCAGAATAGCAATCAATTTTGATTCATGTCTTTCCTTTAGCTTTATTCATGTAGAGATTCTTTATACAAAGCATATTTATTGTTATGTTTCAAGGGCGGGATTAGAGAAGGACGCGCGCTACCCCTAGACGCCCAAGTCTGCCAGTTTCTCCAAGAAAATTGTATCCATTGCTGTACCTTAGTGTAAAATTACTTTGCTAGACTTGAATTGATCTTCAGTTTCGTTACAAAAGCATTTGCTCTCAGAAGCGCTGCTTAAGTACTAAGCATGCAGCGCCACCCCCCGCTTTTCAAATTTTTAACATTTAATCGCCGCTGTCCCTCTCATGAGACGAACTTCTTCCTGAAGATGCTGCGACCGTCACACTGCTCCTTGTTAAGTATATATGTTTTCATTCAGAGGCCTTGAAAAAATCAATTGAAATCTTGCAAGCCATTTCAAAAGTGTCATAATGTCCACGAATCATACCTTTTGAACAACCCGTTCTAGTTTGAGAGAACTATATTCTATAACGTTATGTTAGAAAGCGATCTCAGCATTTTTAAATCATTACATGCTCTAGAGAAAAAGTCAAAACGTGATGAAAATACAATATTATACAGGTACCTCATAAAATCTTTATACAATTTGATACGAAGTGTGTTCTGTGTAGTCCTCGAAAGACTGAAAATTTATAGTTTGCACTTTTATTCTTGCATATAGGTAAGCGGAAAATATTGATCATACTGAAGGATAATAAAATGTTTTCAGATTTTGCTACTTATATTAGCTTATTACAATTATGATATTTTTTTAAGTAGATAGAGCATCGTGAACTACTAAACACGTCTTATGGAGGGCTACAAAGTACAGACTCGTCTGAAAATCATACAATTGTTGCCTTCTATATGAACAGAGGCCTTCTTTCCGTGTACTTATATTTACAATTAAATTGTATTTTCTGCACAAAATTTGTTTATTTGGTAGAATTTGAAAGTAAGACATATCTATATGTCTTACTACAATATGTATATGTCATTGTCACTATTTATATCAGAAGTAATACTTGGTACACAATTCTGCCTTATAAACGATTTTGTGTCAGCCTTTGTGATTCGTCGCTGAAATTTTTCAAATATATCTCGAATGCTTAGCCTTAATAAGCTTTAAATAAATATAAATTTATCATCTCTAGCATAAGAGCAAGTGTCCATAAAAACATTTATGCCTCTCAAAATTGGAGTTATTCTAAAAAATTTAGCTAGAATTTAGAACGTTTCCACTATCTTTGTGAAATCTTGATTTAATTCTGGTTGTGAAATGTTTTTTTATTTATAAGTTTAGTAAAAATTGTTTTCACATAATAATTTTTGTACAGAGTACCCGCAGTGTATTTATTCATTTCTATTTGTAATTATTTGCCATCGTATTTTTACCTAGACATGTGATTTTTAGAGTGTATGTTATTAAAGAATATGTATATTTATGAGAAATATATGTGGCATTTTGCACGTTTTTAACTTATTTACAGGGTACTTATTTTTTATACTTTACTGACTTACGTTCTTAAAGCCCTGGATTGTTTTTATTGTCAAACATTCCAATGTATAAGCAACTGCCTCTTCGTACTCATGAAACAGACATTCCTTAGTTAAAATTATTTATTATTGCTTGAGTTACTGCAAGTAATGTAAAGCAGAAAAATTTGAACTGTTGCTTTTAAGTTGGGTAGACTTTGCCGTACTTATCTTTTTTTATTTGAAAATTTGATTTTCAAAAAACGAATGCTTGATATCAGAACATTTTATATTTGACAGGGTGTTCCTTAAAAATCTGTGGATTACAGACATCTAGTTAGTGAAGAGCAATGTCGTTGGATCACGCATGATGTGAAATACCATTAGGTACAGGTTTTATTATAGAGCTGAGGTTTCAGAAATTTATTTATATGCTAGCTTCAGCGTGGAACTTTTTTGTTTTTTTTTAATTTGACTATTTTAGAGATATAAGTGTTTTTGTTCTTCATGTTTTCGGTTTTCAAGGGACACCATAAAATTTTATGATTGTGATTGTATGTATTAGGTATATTTCCAAGTGAGATTTTTTAGCACATTTATATGCTTATAGCAAAAAATATCGTCAACATAATCATTGTAAAGCTCAACTAAACTAAGTTGTAATATTTGACGTTTATGTAATTCAATAAAAAAATTATACGAAATTTACATTATTCAATTCAAATTCACTATTTAATCCAAGGTACTATTTTTTTCTACCCAGCATCATATACAGTGGTATATGAAAGTTACCAAATAATGTACACTGAATTTTGTTGTATATAAGGAAAACTGACTAGACCCTAGTCAATTATAACTTCATTGCATGTAATATTTGCCTAAGTATGAAATTTTGTGGCATATTTTTGTAATTTAGCAGCATAGCGTACGTCCCTTTTTGTCCGTCCAAAGTGTATGATAAGAAATGCAAGGTACTTTAAGATATTTATAAGAACACTTTTAACAATATTTAGATAGCAACTAATAAAGTATATTAAACTTAAGGGTTCATTTATGCACGCAATTTTTGTCGCACAACACTGTCAAGTCATAGCATATCATGCGACAAAAACCGCCTACATGAAATGGATCGTGAGCTAGATAAAACTTGAGCCATAGGTGTATCTCAACCTTGTTTTGAGTTTTTCGCACAACATCTGTTTTTTCTAAAGTACTACTGTGTCATTCTCCTTTCAATTTTTGACCTGATTTTCGAAAATTCTTAGCTATGAGTTCATCTGTTGAATTATAGATATTTGCCACTCCCTGCATTTCTAGTGTATTTATATCTTCTTACTATAAGTATTATAGAGAGTGGACACGAATTCTATTAACTTTAATTTGTACTTTGAATACATTTTTTTATTTATATAGAGCAAACTAGAGTACACATATTTGTAGCTAGGACATTGTTTTTTAATTTTGTATGATTTTACTTCTAAATACAGTTTTATTTTTACCAAGTCTGTATTTCAATTACTCACCTAAAATTTGAGAATGGGGGTAATCTGCCCAGCTAGAAGTAGAAGGATTTAGATAAGGTGTTGGTCATATGATATATACATATCTAATTCCGCGTCCACACGCTTGGCACTTGCCGCAAACTCCAAACCTCTACAACCCTTTTTTTTTGAGGACGCCACGTTGCGGGTGGGTCTGTGAGTTCTGAAGTGGCAAGCAAAAAATATATCAAACAAAACGAAAAGTGCCGCAAAGAAGATGGTGGATGTAACAGATTCATAAAATCCGGATCGTATGGAAAGACTAATTGTCTATTCTTGACAGGAATGGAAACTATTGACTAAGACTTGAATTAACTTATTTCCTACTGAATCGTTAATCTTTTATACAGGGTGACTTCGAAGTTGAGTCATTTATTTTAACAGTGAGTAGATCTGATCAAAAGAAATGTTTTTCCTATAACATTTTTCTGGTAAAATTAAAGTAACAAAGTTATAGCCCTTTAGAAGTTTGAGTACCGCCCTGTCTCAATAATAATATTATTATGTGCTCGTGTTTGGCAACAACGGATATAATCCGCCTTATCGGTTCATCGCATCGGAAACAAAAAAGCGAAAGAATTTGAAACGCTTATCACGATGTTTTTACTACAATTTTATTCAGTCAATGTGTCAGTCGGTAACGCGTGAGTGAATAGTGGTGTTTGTTGCGTGGCTCAAACGAAATAAAAAATTGCACATGTTTACGAAAATGCTGAACTTGTGGACATGATTCTTATTCTTTACAAAATGCTGCCGCGGCATCACGGGTTTATGCGGATCGGTTTCCCTATCGAGTGCAACCAACCCCTCGTGCCTTTGTTAATGTAGTACTAAGGGCTCGTGAATCAGGTGACTTAAGACCTCACAGGGGAGAGCATGCCGGTGCTCCAAGACCGCACGATCAAATGGAACTAGAAGAACAAATTTTAGAATTAGTAAATGATGATCCAACAGTAAGCACCCGACAAATTTCAACTCAATTGGCGATTAGTCAATATAAAACTTGGAAAACTCTACGTGAAAATCAGTTCTATCCGTTTCACATACAAAAAGTGCAGGCCTTACAGCCGGAAGATCATGAACAAAGGGTTGACTTTTGCAACTGGCTTTTAAATAACCATCAAAATGATGACAATGTTTTAAATCAAATTTTAGTAAGTGATGAAGCCCTCTTTACTAGAAACGGAATTAATAATTCACGTAATTCTCACGTTTGGGCTATTGAAAATCCCCATGAAATAAGGGAAACCAATTTTCAACAGCGATTTGAACCAATCAACCTGTGGGCTGGAATTGTTAATGGAATTTTAGTGGGGCCTTTTGAATTACCAAATCGCTTAACTGGTGAAAATTATCTTGATTTCTTGCAACACAATTTGATTTACTGGAAGATGTGCCTTTAAATATTAGACAAAACATGTGGTTTTTACAAGATGGGGAACCCCCCCATTATGCAAGAAATGTGCGTGAATTTTTAAATAGACAATTTAATAATCGTTGGATCCGCCGTGGCGGTTTTGTACCTTGGCCGTCAAGGTCTCCGGACTA